ACTCCCTCTCAAGCATCTGATATTCATACCTCAAAAAAGAATTTTCTTTCTCCACAGAATCTAACCTCGACATTAGTGCATTAAACTCTGCTTCTGCCTGTTTACTGCTCTTAGTTAGATCTTCAATTATCTTACCTTTCACGAGAAGGACCTTATTTAGATGAGAATTCTCATGTGTCAAATTTGTGATCCTTTTACTCGTTTCTGCTAATCTATCCTCTAACTTTTTGTGCGCCTTCTCAAATTCTTTTGACGTCCTCATTACAGCATCACGTACGTTTTGCTCCTGTTCCTCTCGGAGAGAAGTTAATTGCTGTATATGATCCCTCAGCGCGGTGTTCAAGTGCATTATACTTTCATTAGCAGCTTCTCTCCGAACGACTGCTTCATCTAGTTCTTTTTTTAAGCAAAGCACTTCAGCTTCTGCTTTCTTCTGACCTAAAATTGCATCTAATATGTGAGAAGGATACTAACACTTTACGGGAAATGGAAATAAAGGTAACCGAGGAAATGTGCTTTAGCAATATAAAACAGGAACAAAAAGAACAGTTAGTTACCTGCAATAGCTTCTTGTTCCATTTCTGCAGACCGTATCAATTGTTCATCTTTAGAATTAGACTCACTGAGCGCGGTAGCTAACTTCTCATCTAAGATTTTCAATGATTGCTCCAGAAATATTTCCTTTTCATTTGGAACTGTCTGTCCCTAGACGCAATTAATTAGTATCTTTTAGCACAAAGGAATGTGTCCGAAAGAATGTTACAACAGTGAGCTAAAACCTCTATCACATTAAAGTTAATCTTTAAGTACCTCCACTCCATTTACTTGAACAGGATGATCAGATTTGCTGATTGAAACAATCGTCTTCTCTGAAGATCGTTTCCTCGGCCATAACCATGACTTCTGGTCCATGATTTACTGCTACCACAAAAACTCAGTCCCGAATTTTCAAGAATTGCAAAGAGGAGCAAATGACAAGGAGTCAAAGAGCAAATAAAGAATAGAATTTTAGCCATTTGGTTTCTTATCTTTTTCCTTTTAAGCACTATAATAGAGCTACTGACTTACAATTTACAGAGTTTTACTAGTTAAACCGGCTGATTAGAACCAGGAGAAGGAAATTCAATTCACCACTGACACCAAACAAAACTTTGCAACTTAGAATCAACCTCTTCAATAAACTAATAAAACACTTTTCTATCTCTAAAGAAACTTAAAAGGCTTAAAAAACATGAACATTGCTTCAGTTTTATCAACAGAGGGCGAATGCAGCCCATATTTAACGGATTCATACCAGTAATTTCATCGCGGAACATAGATATATACGCAAAAAAATTTACTAGAATTTCAACAAATGTTAAATTCTAAATCCATCAAGAAGTAGCCATTTTCAACCTCCCCCCCCCCCAACCAACCCCCAAAACCCCTGTGAAGGTGCAGGGTGGCAGAGTGGGAAGGGGAATGGAATACCAGGGCAGAATTTAGAAAATTGTCAACATAACTCCCTAAAATCTTACAGTAGTTTTTTCCACTAAGAATGACGAAAACACCAATAAAAAAAGACCCAGAAAAGTGAATAAAACAGGCACTCAATACTGTAAGATTCTACAGTTTCAGCATGTTGATCATATAACTACAGACATATCGAGAGAAAAACAAAAACTCAATACTCCCTTTTAACCAAAATGCAAACAGATAACTATCATAAACAACAAATTAAACTCACTAAACGACATGAAGAAAAAACATAATGAGATTTTAACAGTGAGATTAAACTTCAGCAGTCAGCACTCACCAACCTCAATCTAGCATGCACCAGCAGCTACTGATCATTACAAAAATAACCAAAACTTGTTGAATTCTTGGACGTAACCTTACTACAAGCTTCAAGAAAAGTGGCTAGTAAAAAAAAAACCATTCAAGACAGACACCACCTGAAACTAAAAGACTGAAGAAATAGCTGAGAAAATGCATCAATACAGCCACCGACAAGTTACGCACCTGGGGAGTGAAATGAAACAAATATAACAACTGTAATGAGAGAAAAACAGATAGTGGGTGGGTCTCACCTTCACTTTGGCATAGGGGTAAAAATCCAAAGTCAAGAAAAGATTAAAAGTAGCTATGACTAGCCAGTAGCAGAGAGTAAGATAAAGTTTTTGGAGGGTCCATTTTTTATTTTGACAATCAACAGTTGTTGCTCTAATAATGTCTGAAAACGTTACACTTTCAAGACATGCACGGTTAGAGTGAATATCACGCTCCACTCAATATTAACCACGTGTAACCTTGTGGGCTCACTTTGTTCCATGCACTTACCGCACAATTTTTTTTTTACGCTATTAAGTTAAGTTGACAGACAAAACAAGTAACATTTGATATCAAAGTTAATAGTAACGTGAAAAATAAACTAATAATATACATTATAACGTGTTAAATTATGCTCTCTTCGTTTTAATGTGTGTGAACTCATTTGACTGGACACGCACGGAGTTTAAGAAAAGAGAGAAGATTTTTAAATTTATGGTGTAAAATGAGGCACATATATGTTGTGTGGCTATAAATCATTGCATAGATGAATTATTTCGGAAAGAGGTCATTCTTTTTTACACGGACTAAAAAAATAGATTTACGTAAATTTAAATTGAGGGAGTATTAATAATATAAAAACATTTGTATCATCACTATAAATGTATATAATTAACTCTCAGGAGGAACTTAATCCACCGAAGAGAATGTGACATAAATGTACGTGAAATAGGGTCAAGAGAATTGATTGTCGCATAATGATTTTGTCCCTTTATGGTATTCTATATTTTCCTTTGTATTCAAAGGCTAAAAGAAGCATATTCTTGTCTAACTTTTGTTTTGAAAATAATATTTTGTGGTCCCCTTTTTCTTAGGAAAGGTATCAAATTGGGGATCATGACTTCTCCTTTTCCTCGCCCATTGTGTTATTCTAATCTTTATTAATTAACTTTTATTCCCTTTTCATCATGTTTATTCCATAATATGGTGGAAGTGTAATATATTAGTCTTTATCTCAAATGAAAGCAACAAATGAGAAAAGTGACACTTACCTTAATGGGTTATGAGGAGAGCCAACCAAGTAGCTCACCAACTACGCTAACTATGTTTGTTTTATGGACTTAAATGTCACGTCTTTAGTTGTTAACTAAGTACACGTGCGGTACTTGACAACTCGCTCACGATCTTGCACAATTTGCTCACGTTCTTGCTATGCCAAGTCAGTCTTACTACACTCAAGATCGCTAAGAGAATGGAAGAAAGAACACAAGAGAATTGTTAAAGGAAGCTTCGTATTAGAGAGAACATGAATTGTTTGCTTTATGAATTACAAATGAATGGCCCCCTTTATATACTAGTCTCCCGAGGGCTAGTATGTAAATATTAATTATTACACAAGTCTTTAATATTTACAAGATAAGGGCTTTTTCTAGAATTCTCTACAAGCCTAGAAGATTCCAATGACTTTCCTAGCAAATCCATAAGGATCTAAGTTCTTCCTAAGGAAATGTACATACCTTTCTAGAATCTTCTCACAAATGCTAGCGTTCTTCTTATGTAAGCTTCCACATGGCATTAATATATGCCAAATGGAGCCTATGTGGCATGATGACATGGCGGGTCATCACATAAAGCTATATACATTAATAACATTGTAGAAAATTTTCTACACTATCAATGAATTTTAACATATGATAACAAGTAAGTTACTATATATAAGAATTAATTTCCAACTAATGTTTATGAAAAAAATTATTTATAATTATCAATTAAATGATCCAATTGTGTGTATATTATTTATACTTTCGTGGAACTTAACCTTTTGTTTTATTATGAGGAAAGGGGTAAATTCCTTTTTATTGTCAATTTTTTTTTTTTTTTCTGAATGAGGGTATGTTAGACCTGAGGAAGGGGTGTCTTCCTTGGAATTAGATCTTTCATCTAATTTATTGAGGGAGGATTACAATAATTAGGTCGTAACTTCAATTGTAGGTGAAATAAGTAGTAGCTTACATTTATTTCTCTAAACTTAAATAATTAGTATGCATCAATTTCGAATTAATTTCATATTCAGTCACTGAACTTTACCAGACTAAAAGCTCGCTTTGTAACTCTTACCATCATATACAACTGACTATAATATTTAAAAATATTTGGAACAAACAAAGTTGTTATAAAAAGATTTGACTGTATAATATATATATATATATATCTTACTATATAGATTGATATAGGTTTTATAATGTACTCGTATATAAACTATGTAATTACGTCCTACTGTCCTAGTCGGACTAGGCAATGCGAGGAGGGGATTTTATGGCATCCAACAAATCAAAGGAATGCACCTCGAGAATATTAATACTAAAAAATTTCTACAGCAAACACAATTTTGAGAAATAGCAATTTATTTGTACAAATTTACTAAACTTATCGGATATAGACAAAATAAGTCACTTCCTCAGTGTAAACAAATGTGAAATGAAGAAATAATAGTATTTATTTCACCTTACGAAAGCCAACTTGCTAAATTGTCATACATCGTACGGAAAAGTTTTACCATGTGCCTCACACGAGAAAATTACGAGAATTCAACCAACTCAAATGAATTTGTGACTAGGGTTCTGGTTGAAGAAACTAGAGAGAGAGAAGAGGAGCTCATCTCGTATTGAAGAAGAAGAAAAATAAATTAGTTAGTTTGTTTCTAGAGAGTTCTGCTCTCTTTATTTACATTGGGCCTATTATTTACATTGGGCCAAAATACCCCGAAAAATAAAATTACCCTAACCCAAAAATACAATATAACATAAATATCTGGATATCTAGGTTGAACCATCCTTCTTGTCTATTTGGGCCTTGTGTGTATCAGCAATTATTCCAACACCCCCTCCCCCCTCAAGTTGGAGGGTGGGAGAACCCCCAACTTGGGTAAGATAGCATGATGTAGAGCTCTAGTAAGGGACTTGGTGAATATGTCAGCCAATTGTGCAGATGTGGAAATGGTGCAAGGAGATGGGCCCTTCAGTAAACTTGGTCCGAATGAAATGGCAATCCACCTCAATGTGTTTGGTGCGCTCGTGAAAAACAGGGTTCTTGGCTATGTGGATCGCAGCTTGATTATCACAAAATACAGGGATAACAGTAGTAGTAGGAATGCCAAAATCAGACAACAGCCGAGCCACCCAAGAAAGTTCAGCAACAACCTTTGAAATGACGTGATATTCAGCTTCAGTGGAAGAAAGGGAGACTACAGGTTGTTTCTTAGCCTTCCATCCAACAAGACAACCTCCCAAGAAGATGCAAAAACCAGTAACAGATTTGCGAATATCAGGGCAATCAGCCTAATCACTATCGCAATAAGCAGTCAAAGTAAAGCCAGGAGAATTACTAAAAAAGACTCCAAAATCAGCAGTGCCTTTAAGATATCTGAGAAGATGAACAACAACCCGCATGTGCGGAAACCTAGGAGTTTGAAGAAACTGACTTAAGTGTTGGACTGCAAAGCATAAGTCAGGCCTTGTGTGTGTCAAGAAGTTGAGCTTACCAACTAAACTTCTATAAGATTCTGGTGAAGGGAGAAGGTCACTATAGTCAGCCTTCAACTTGGTCGACAGGTCCAAAGGGGAGACCACTGGAGACACCAGTTCACAATCGTAGGCATGCAACAAATCTCTAATAAACTTCTTTTGATGAAGCAGAAGACCATAAAAGGAGTAAGAGACTTTTATCCCCAAGAAATAGTTGAGAACACCTAAATCTTTGATTTTAAACTGAGAGTCCAGAAAGGCTTTCAAGGAAGATATCTCATCCAGATCATTACCAGTGAGAATAATGCCATCTACATATACAACAATCAATACAATAGAAGATCCACACTTTTTAACAGAAAAGGAATAATCATTCAAGGAGTGGGAATAGCCTCTGGAACATAAAGCATGAGATAATTTAGCATACCATTGCCTAGAAGCCTGTCTGAGTCTATATAAGGACTTCTGTAATTTGCCCACTAAAGAGGAAGAAGGCAGAGAAGCAGAACTAGAAACTAAACCATGGGGAAGTTTCATGTACATTTCCTCATCAAAGTCACCATACAAAAATGCATTATTGATATCCAATTGAAACATGGACCAATTCTATTTGACAGCTACTGCAACAAGACATTTAACTGTAGAAAATTTAATGACAGGAGAAAAGGTCTCATTAAAATCAATCTGTTCAACTTGTGTATCACCTCTAACAACCAACCTATCCTTATACCTCTCCACTAAGATCTGCTCTATATTTAACTTTGTAAATCCATTTGCAACCAATTGGTTTCTTACCTTGAGACAATTCAACAATAGACCAAGTGTCATAGCCTCAAGTGCCTCAAATTCCTTCTTCATGGCCTCTTGCCATTCTGGAATAGAGGCATCTTGGTTGTAAACTGAAGGTTCAGTAATAGTATTATCAGCTAGGAAATGAAAACAAGTAAATAAAGAAGCACTACGGCCACACAATGAAGGGGGAAGTTGACAAACATAAAACTGAAGAAGAGCAGGTGAATGGTGATCCCTAGAGGATCTTCTAAGTTGTGGAACAGTAGGAAGAAAAATAGGTGAAGAAGTTGAAGGAAGAGGAAAGGGTGAAGGAGGGGAAGAAGTAGTGGATACAGGGGAAGAAGACTCGGGAACAGGTGTTGGAGACGAGGGTGGTGGAAAAGATGAGGATTCTTCTTAAATAGGAAAATAATTAGGAAGAGGAGGAGAAATAGAGTTAGCACAAGCAAAAGGAAAGACAGATTTATGAAAAATAACATCTCTGGAGTTAGTTTAGTGGTCAAGTTATAAAGTTTGTAGCATTTCTTACCTAAACGGTAACCAATAAAAACACAAGGATCAGCCTTAGATTGCTTGTCTCTATTACATTTGGGGATAGTGTGATAGCAAAGGCAACCGAATGACCTGAGATGTTCATATGTAGGAGGCAGTCCATATAGTTGTTCAAAAGGTGATTTATTGTTTAAAAATTTGGAAGGAAATCTATTGATCAGATATGTGGCTGTCAAAACACAGTAACCCCAGAATTTTAAAGGTAATTTGGGTTGAAAAAGTAAAGCTCTTGAGGTTTCCAGTAAATATCTATGCTTCCTTTTCGCCACACCATTTTGTTGTGGTATATGAGGGCATGAGGTTTGATGTATGATCCCATAGTCAAGAAAGAATTGAGTAGCTATGTGACTGGAACCGAACTCATAAGCATTGTCACTTCTAAAAGCTTTAATGGAAATATTGAATTGTGTCTTGACAACGGCCACAAAAGCTTTTAGTAAAGGAAAAGCATGGCTCTTGGACCCCATAAGGTGAGTCCAAGTAACTCTAGTGAAATCATCAACTAAAGTAAGAAAATACTTAAAACTATTATAGGTTGGACTATGATAGGGCCCCCAAGTATCTATATGAACAAGTTGGAAGGGAGAGAAAGTTTTAATAGAGCTTTCTGGGAATGAGAGTCTAGATTTCCTAGCTAAGGGGCAAACAGAAAAAACAAAAAGCTGGGTAGCAGAAAACTTGCATGGAATAACAGAAATATCTTTCATTCTAACAAAAGGAATATGTCCTAATCTGTTGTACCATAAAATATCCATTTTATTAACAGCAAAATGATTTGTACAATGAGAATCAGAAGCTGCATAAAGTAATGGAGTGAAGGGGCCTGGAGAAGACAACAACGTTTGGTGAAAAGTAGGTCACAGTCTAAATAAGACACAAGTTGGTAAACAGAAATGAGATTGTAGTGAAAACTAGGAATGTACAATACATGATGAAGAATAAAAGAGAGAAAATATATTGAATCGGAAAGTTACTTTAACTTTATAACCATTTGGAAGAGTGATTAGGTAGGGCACAACAAGGTGTTTAATATCAAAGAGGAGATCTTTGTTAGAAGTCATGTGATTAGTGGCTCCAGAATTTATAATCTAACTGTTATCATTGACCCTAGTTAACATACAAGTACCATAACCAATTCCTACAGATTCAAAAGGAGGAATTATACCAGCAAAATTTACAGAAGCCATGAGACTGGATTGAGGTCCTTGTCTGATACATGACTCTGTTGTAGCAGGAGCATCAGTTGTGTATATTGCTCTTTTGTGAGATCAGGAATCAAAGAGGCAGATTTAGAAGAATGCTCAGATGGAGAATTGGAATCAGGATCAAGAGCCTGTTGAACCTCAACATTAGCAACTACTTTCTTCCCTTTAGTAAATTTGAAGTTAGAAGGGAAACCATGAAGCTTATAGAATTTTTCAATGGTGTGACCAGGCTTCTTGCAGTATCTACATAGCAGATTAGATTTATTTGGATCAAAATTAATTTTCTGAAAGAACTGACGTGGAGGATTGGCTGGTTTGCTGGTAGGGTTATTGAAATTTGCATTGAAAGAGGATGCATGAGCCTGAAACTTAGATGACGGATTGATTTGCATTTGCTTTTCATCTTGGAGAAGGATATTGTAAACACTATCAAGAGAAGGTAGAGGATGCATCATGAGCAAGTTACTCCTCACACCAACATATACATCATTGAGTCTTATAAGGAACTGATCACCTTATCCTTCTCCTTTTCTTTTTGAAGATCAGACTTGACAAGACAAGAGCATCTATTTGCATGATTAGTACACACATATCCTAACTCATCCCACAATTTCTTCAACTTGTCAAAATATGAGACTATATCTAAGGACCCTTGGAAGGTTGGAGCAAGTTCCTTTTTCAATTCAAACACCTTAGTCCCATCGACTGAACCATATCTTTTATTAAATTGAGACCAAATACTCTGCAGTCTCATAATACTAGACACTCTCAGCAATATCAGGTGAAAGTGAACTGGTTAACCAAGAAATAACCATATTATTACACTTATTCCATTGTTGAAGCTGAGGGAAATCCTCAGCAGGTTTAGGGCAACTTCCATCAACAAAAGCTAATTTGTTTCTAGCTGAGAGGGACACGATCATATTCCTACAACATCCCCCAAATCCACTACCAGTAAAAGGGACAGTAACAAGAGATACCCTGGGAATATCATATGAAAGTAGATATATAGGGTTAGTGGGGTCAGGAATGAACACTGATGCATTAGCAAGTGTAGTACTTGTCTCTACCATGACGAACAACAGAAATAGCCACAAAGAGAATACGATCCAAATTACTGAACAGAAGAATTACACATGCAATCAACAATCAACCAGAGATGATGCTCAAGAAATGAAGGGAATGTTACCAGCCTTTTCGCATCCGGAAAAGGTACGGCCTTCAATCAAACGAACAGGAAAACCCTAAATCTCGTCACAAACTTCGTGATTATTCAAAAAAAATCTTCTAACAAGAGTAATATGAGTAGAAAACCCTTGAAAGATAAACAGTTATGAAAAGCCCCAAAATAGCAACAAAAATCCATCAATCATCAGAAAATGCGAAGAACTTCGCGAACACTGTAACTTCGACGGAATCGATGAGATTACAATCGATCGAACGAGAAATAGAAATAGCAGATACTCTGCTCTGATACCATGAGAAAATTACGAGAATTCAACCAACTCAAATAAATTTGTGACTGAGGTTCTTGTTGAAGAAACTAGAGAGAGAGAGAGAAGAGGAACTCATTTCGTATTGAAGAAGAAGAAAAATGAATCAGTTAGTTTGTTTCTAGAGAGTTCTGCTCTCTTTATTTATATTGGGCCTATTATTTACATTGGGCCAAAATACCCGGAAAAGTAAAACTACCCTAACCCAAAAATACGATATAACATAAATATCTGGATATCTAGGTTGGGTCATCCTTCTTGTCTATTTGGGTCTTGCGTGTATAAGCAATTATTCCAACATCACACAACTAACATTAGTTGTGTAAGGTTTTATGAGGTCTCCTTTTGTTTCATAAATGTGTGGACCCCATTCTTACACTTTTTGGTCCACAAAATTTGGGTCCATAAGATTGTGAAACAAAAAAGAGACATTATACAATTAATGTTAGTTGTATGAGACACAAAAATAAAAAAATTCCATCGTACAGGCAAGTCATCAATCATCATCATATTTGTACTATTAGTAATACGTTTTTTAACACATTAAACATAGAGATCAATACTATTGTTGATCAAGCTATTAACCTAATCCTTAAAACTCTCAATTAACGTAGCTAACATCACTAGAATGGCGATATACAATCCGAAATATGCTTGACAATTCTTGTTTAGAGGGCAGCGTGGTTTACGATTGGCCAACATCAAGGGACTTTCCAATGTCTCCAACTAACTTCTTGTTTTGCCAGTATGAATTCATATATAAAAATAGACGATACTTTCACTAGAATTACATGTTGATGTAAACTGCTTGTTTATTGCACTTTTTATTTACTTAATTTTATTATCCAACCACGGTCTCAATTATTGTCAATTCTCTACGAATGATCAATTCATCTTTTAGATTACGTGATAGTTGTAATGAGAGATTTTACTGTAGTCGCTAGGAGATACTTCCACCGTTTCTAAAAAAGTGAACTTTTTAGTATTTGGGGAGTCAAATAAGATTTTCTTTGATGATATTTTTACAAATAATTTTTAAGTATTTTGAATTGTTAACTACTATGATTTATAGGAATTTTTATGTAGAAATATATAAACTATATCTAGATTCGCATTGAAAATTAATTAATTTGATTCTGAAAAGATATAAATTGAAAAGGAGGGAATATTACTCTCTCTGAATTATATATATGCACACGATACCTATAGGTTGTATTTGCATCACTATACAAGAATATTAAATGTGTTAATATTGGATTTGAGCCTTACAATAAACTATGGGCCCTCTTGCTATCTAGTCTTCTTAATCATCTCAATTCTCACTAATGAGAAAGGACATTTGATTAGCATCATTCACCAAATATTCAAGAAGCTTTCGCTTTCTCGGCTTGGTAGAGTAGAATATTTTTGTTCAATAATGAAAATAGACTATACATTACGATGATTGGTCCAATCACTGGTGCAGAAGCTAGACAGAGACAGAGTCATGGCCCGCTTAGTAGATTGGAAATTTTACATGTTTGACGAGGTGTGCTTTGTCAAATTTTAGAATAGT